CTTACCATTACCCCTTATCGGTTCCTTCATCTAAACTTCTACTTTTATTATTCATAAGTTTATTTTGTAAACATGTTGAGTGGGATCCACCTCAAACCCATTTAGTGGACTGATTTGGCCTGTAATTTGGATTTGTACATTTTCTTTAAAAGAGAATAGGGTTTGGTCAGGGTCTCACATAACCTTGTTCAACCTTAGCCAACAACATAACGTTGTTTTTCAAGTTTCCTTACTTTGATGAATGTTTAAATGATATAGATGTACTATGCATCTTCTGGCCCTCTTACTCGACAATGTCAAAAGCAGGTTTCTGGATCACAACTAATGGGAAGACCGGCTGCATCTCCTGGTGGTACCAGTGTTTCAAACTTTGATAACACAACAACATCTCCACTGCCGTATGCCAACTCCCCAAGGTCTAGCACAAACATGATGAATACGCCATCACCTCAACAACAAAGCCAACAACAGAAGCAACAACAACAGCAGCAACAGCAGCAAAAATTGATGCAATTACCTCAGCATCAGCAGCAGCAACTCCTTGCTCAGCAACAATTTAGGCAATCTGCAATGCAAGGACTAGGGCAAGTAAGGTTTATTGCCGACATCCTATATGCTATTTTATGGCTTAGGAATTGTTGCCACATCATCCATTTCATTAAAGACTCAATGCGAGTTTCCAAAATTTATTTTCTAGATTAAGTCCATGGCCAGTCATCTAGAGAATGTAACTTTTGACTCTCTCATTCATTATGCAGAACCAACTGCAACAGCTGCATGATTTGCAGCAGGGCCAGGCGCAGAAGTTTCAGTCGGTAACTCTGTTGCTAACTCCTTTTTTGCCTTTTTTCTTTTTTCTTGTCTCTTTTTCTGGTTATCATCTCTTAGTAGTTCTCTTATGTTTTTCTAAGGTTCTAGATGCTGCTTTCATTGAATCTTTCACACTTTCAGGAATTAGATATGTACTTTAAGATATTAATGAAAAATCTATTTACTTGCATTGCCCTTTTGTTTAATAAGGTGGAAGTATTTGCATCCGCATATCCCCACAAATTACAAGTATTTACTTGCGTTGCCCTTTTGTTTAATAAGGTGGAAGTATTTGCATCCGCATATCCCCACAAATTACAAGCCTTGTGCATCTGTGCCTATAATCTGGGTGTTGGTTCTTAAGACTTGGATAAGAGTTTGGGCTTCTGAACGGATGACTGTAGAGTCATGGGGAATGAATGTGTGCTTTTCCCATATTAGAGAATTTTGCAAAACTGTAGTATTTTAGGCGCTACTCTTTCTTTCTCTCCCTCTCTCATGTTATTGACAAAACTATATGAGCTTTTGCATCAACAATGCAAAATAGCATTTATTTGTCTTGCTGCATTTCCCCATTTTTGGGGTTACTTAACTAGTAATTATTATTCTCTCTAGTTACACGGACAACATCAAATGCAATTTTCTCAGCCTCTGGGGCACCAGCAATTTCAGGGTAGGCAGTTGCCTTCTGGACACGTTCAACAAGGCATTGGTCAAAACCAACTTAATCCAGGAAATCAAATGAGTCGTCATCTTGGCCAGTTTTCTGGCACTGCAAATAGTGCACTATTTAATGCTGCTCAGACGACACCGAGTCAAATGGTTAGATTTTGTGCCAATTCATTATCACTTTATTATTTGCATGAAAATGAGTGGGAAGATTCTATTCATTGCATGATTCAGAACATCAACTTGTATTGTTTGTGATATGCTTGTATTTTATATTGTGTAAGTTTTGCGTAACTCCACCTTTATGCCCTTCTATTTCATTTAATTCAAAGTGCTGCATTTTTTTTACTTCTTGATGATATTTATGCCATTACATCTTCATTTCTTTTCCTGTTCCAGATACCAAACATTTCGGCCACTATGCCCTCACAAGCACTTCTGCCTCGAATGCAGGTACATTTCCTATGTGATTTGGTTTGTTGTGTTTCCTATGTTTATGTTAGTTTCTTCATTTTATTAGTTTGTGCCTTTTCCTTTTTGCTTGTGCTTTATTCTCAAAGGCTAACTTATCTAAGGTGGATGATGTATTTTGATGATATGAATTGTTTTGATATCATGTGACTGATAATGTGATGACTTAATCCCTTTTGCTTTTTTTGCTCCACAGTTTGAATTGTCTGGTAACAATCCCCAGAGAAGCCATGCTTCCCAAATGTTGAGTGATCAGAGTACGACTTACGCCCTTTCTCGGTCTAATTTTAACCTCATATATGAGTATTGCAATCAGGTTCTTCTTGTTCCTGGTTTGATTTAGCAGTTGGGGTCTTTGCTTGCAGTGTTTAACATGGGAGCAGCAAATACTGGTGGTATGATGCCCCTACAGCAGCAGCAGCAGCAGCAGCAACAGCAGCACGGTTCACAAGGTGCATTCGGAAACATTCCACCAAATGCTCAGAATCTTCAGTCTAATATGGTAGCACTTCAGGGCACACCACAGAATCATCCCAATTTTGGCCAACAGAGACAGCAAAATCAGCAATAAGACTAATGTTTCTAGTTTGTCAACAGAAACTTCAAAACTTTTAAATTTTTGCTCTCTGAAAAACAGAGTTAGTGTCTATCTGTTTGGGTAAAATAGCTAAGAATTGGCAATTGGCACTAACCTGGTGTATGTAATTGTTGTTATTGACCTATAAAAAAGCTTGTACATGCTGTTTATTATTTAGTTTGTAGAAACACTCTCCAATTCAGTGATAATCTCTTACACTTAATTCAGAAGCTAAATCAATAACTTTGCAGTCATCCATTCAGAAGCCCATACTCTTGTCCAAGTATTAAGAACGAACACCCAGATTATAGGCACAGATGCACAAGGTTTGTAATTTGTGGGGGTGCAGAAGCTAAATCAATAACTTTCCAGTTCTGTAAAGGTTCTTAACATATTTTGTTTTGATAAAAGTTAAATCAATAGAAATGAATTAGACTCTTATTATCTCTTCAAAATATAAATTAATTCATGCGGATCGAGTTCATTTTCATTCACAATTCACATAACAACCAAACCAAACAAAAAACTAATTGATTAGTGGACTTCATTTACGACCACTTATAGCAAATGTCGTATTGTTGGTTGTCCCAGTTAAACATGCAAGGGCCACCATCACGCATAACCCAATAACACTCACTGCAATCTCTACCATCTCTCCAGTGATTATACACATCGAACCAGTGAATCGATGCATCTGGCAACTGAAAACTGCAGTAGAATCGTGTTATTCCGATAAACGTCGGTTTAAAATGGAATTCAAATGAGTCTTGAGGTTGGAGCACTTGGATACCAATGTCATCGTCCTCAGATCG